GGCATATTAAATCACACATGTTCATTAGTGCCGTTCTTTTCTGAAATGATACAAAATCAACTTTAAGAAACATCTGAACCACACAATGAAGGCTACTAATGAAAGAAGAAGTATCATTCATTGCTAAATCATCTGGTCAAACCATATTTTTCAGCAGGACGTCAGCAGCATGTGAACTGAGTGTGGGAAGTGGCATTTGTTGTTCTGTCATTCTGAATAAAATTATTTTAGCATAGCATAAAATTTTCATATGCTGTGAGATAAACATATCACTAGAAAGCCTTTGAGGAGCATTTTAACTTAATAAAGCATTGTGATTTCTGTTTGGTTGGGCTTTTAACATTTCCTTCGTTGATTAACTGTCCGTTACTTTTGTAAATATGAAGCACCTAACAAGCAAAGAAGTAACGCGTAACTTTCATTTTCAGAATCAAGGAGAAAGCGTACTTCCTGATGGGAGAACCATTATCTGGGATAGCACAAGGGGCTTTATAATACCCAATGCAACATACAAATTCATAGGCCTTCTCAGCTGTGAAACCTATGTTGGTGGCCTTGACTACAGTACCAAATACCTCACATTCAGGCAGGGTAAATATCTTTTTTTAAATGAAAACAATTTAATGAAAATGATTTAATGAAAATGATTTCTCATCTATGTATTTATTTATTTATTTTTCTTTCTTGATGTATTATATAGATAATGACATCCTCAGTGTGCATTTAAATGCTTCAAAACCAGTCAAGTTATTAAAAGGGCAAACCTTGGTCCTTAATTGCACTATCACTGCAACCTGGAACACGAGAGTGTAGATCACATGGAGTTATCCCGGCGAGGTGAGTGCTCTTGTGCTTTTCTAGATAAATAATGACTGACAACAAACACTTCTGCAAGAACATAATAATAATAATAATAATAATAATAATAATAATAATAATAATAATAATAATAATAATAATAATAATAATAATAATAATAATAATAATAATAATAATAATAATAATAATAATAATAATAATAATAATAATAATAATAATAATAATAATAATAATAATAATAATAATAATAATAATAATAATAATAATAATAATAATAATAATAATAATAATAATAATAATAATAATAATAATAATAATAATAATAATAATAATAATAATAATAATAATAATAATAATAATGATGATGATGATGATGATGATGATGATGATGATGATGATGATGATGTGCTGTCAAGTAAATTCTGACCCCAGAGGTTGGGGGTTCAGTTACCTATGGTGCCTCCTTGACAGGGGCGGGGCTCAGTGATCCATAGGGTCCCTTCCAGCTTTGCTGTTCTATGATGATGATGATGATGATTCAGTGAATGTCCAAGCTTTTTGCACAGTGCAGTTGTGTAAATTTCATCCTAATAACTCAAAAAGAAGAAAAAATCAACCATGAAACTTTCTTAGATGCGTTTATTAGCTCATTCTTCTTACCTAAAGTGAACTTTAAAAAATGTATTGTTGATCCATATTAGATTCCCATATTAGGGGAAGCATTTTGGCTAATCTTTTTGTAAATTATCAGTTGTTATGTAAAAAATTTGTTTTGAAAATAATACGATCAAACCTCATTGTGGCCACCAAATCGGAAGCATCCTCAAAAGTGCTTTGTTGATTAAAAGCATGAATACATGGAACTGAAGTTAAATCTTACTAAATAATGTCGCTGTTGAAGGCATATAGTATCTAAATATATTTGATTTATGTGCAAGATTATTTATGTGCACAGCAAAAGGAGCTGCTGTACAGAGAAATCTGTGAGGAAGTCAGCTTCATCAAACTGAGTTACACACTTCTAAATCTAGATTCTGTCCATAATGTTCTACTTGACTGAGAGTTGGGGTTGAACTAAAACATACATTTAGCAGGGATTTAGAAGAGGTGCTTCTTCACATGGTGAAAGATGCCTATTTTGTCTCCTACACATTTTGGCACACTTTTTGTCATAAATGTTGTGCACTTGTAGATAAATACTGGCTTAATTTGCAAGTTTGATCAGAGGCATACACTTCTAATAAAATTCCTATGTTGGAGGGGAAAAAGAGTTAATTGGAAGTGATACACACTTAGTTTAATGTCTATCTAGACCTTCAGACTCAATAGCTTTGTCACTGACTCACATCATTTTCTCCACGTCCATTGCCTCTCTTCATATTTATTTATTTATTTATTTATTGATTGATTGATTGATTGATTGATTGATTGATTGATTGATTTGATTTTTATCCCGCCTATCTGGACCATTGAATTCGCATTATCAATCACAGTGTGTTTTCTGTTCTAGTCATAGTTGTAGCCATTTCCCAGCAATTCTTTTTCAAAGAATGAAACTATTATAATGTTACAAATACAGGAACTAGGTGCTAATCCATCAGGTAAGGTGGACTAGAGTAATTAATAATTAGCTGGTTGTAGATTGCATTTTTGTCCTTTATTATTTTCCAGTATTGCCTTCTATATCAGTTGTTTCTGAACCTCTGAACAGCAATGAAACAGGAGGGAAAATTAATTGGAAGTGATACACACTTAGTTTAATGTCTATCTAGACCTTCAGACTCAATAGCTTCGTCACTGACTCACATCATTTTCTCCACATCCATTGCCTCTCTTCTGGGCTGGGCATCAAATTGTTATAATGCAATTGAATTCGCATTATCAATCACAGTGTGTTTTCTGTTCTAGTCATAGTTGTAGCCATTTCCCAGCAATTCTTTTTCAAAGAATGAAACTATTATAATGTTACAAATACAGGAACTAGGTGCTAATCCATCAGGTAAGGTGGACTAGAGTAATTAATAATTAGCTGGTTGTAGATTGCATTTTTGTCCTTTATTATTTTCCAGTATTGCCTTCTATATCAGTTGTTTCTGAACCTCTGAACAGCAATGAAACAGTTTCTGTTTATGAGTACATGTGTACATTACTTGCTGCAATTCCTTTGGGCTGGGCATCAAATTGTTATAATGCAATAAACTCCTAATTGTTTTTGCCCATCCTAACAGCATTTCTTTTGGGTTGACTTTTTTTTTCTTTCATTTCTAGACAAGCAAAAGAGGCAGAATTACTAGAAGCATTGTACAAAGGAATGATGAACCCAATCTGTTCTACAGCATTCTTGTTGTCAATAAAGTCCGTGACATTGATAAAGGACAGTACACTTGCAATGTGAAAAGTGGCCCTACTTTGAGATCAGTAAATACAACTGTGTATATTTATGGTAAGTCGGATATTGTCTGATACTGGCAAAGGCTAAGAAATGCGCAAAGAATGAATGAACTCTATGAATTCAGTACAGGGATTATGTTGGGTATGATAAACATGATGAAATGTTGGAGATTTGGCATCACAGCTTCTGAGATTTGGATATATAGTCAGGCAAGGTAATGACGAGAGACATATCCCCAAGTGAGCAGGGCTACCCCACTGCTGGCATATGCTCCTTCCCATATGATTGCCTCATTTAGCAACACACACACACACACACACACAGAGAGAGAGAGAGAGACAGACTGACACATATGCTCCTTCGCATATGATTGCCTCATTTATCAGCGCGCACACAGAGAGAGAGAGAGACATGTGGCATGTTTCTGCGCACACATGCACTCTCACTTTTCTTGAAAACATCCTCTTTGGCAATCAGGGTTTGAAAAACCATTTGTTACAACATAAGCTTTTTAAACACAATTTCAGCAACAGCCATAGATCTTTTGGACTTTAGAACTTTCCAAGTTTTACATGGATGCAGGCACATGTGGCATGTTTGTGCGCACACATGCACTCTCCCTTTTCTTGAAAATATCCTCTTTGGCAATCAGGTTTTGAAAAACCATTTGTTACATTATAAACTTTTCAAACACAATTTCAGCAACAGCCATAGATCTTTTTAAGGGTGCAGAGGCATTGAGCAGGGAGTTAGCCGTCCAAAAAATACCCTCAACATGCTGAAGCTAAAGTGAATCTAGCAAGAAATTTAGCCTAGAAATCAAGAAGATGTTTATAATCATTAGAGGAATTAAAGGTCATCATGGAGTAGTAATATGAATTGTGATTCTTGTTGGTGTGAAAGTGTTGAATTAATTAATGCAATATATGTATAAGTCAACCTAATGTATCATTATGGCACAGAAAGATCTTGAAAGTATTGCTTTCATAAGTTATAGGATTTCTTCTGCATTTGGGGTAGCAGAGATTTTATTGCAGTCATGTTGGGGGAGGAAAGTGAAAAACCATATGTCTCCTGACATTGGCCTCCACCCCACCCCTGTTTACACATATTTAGAGTATGTGTGCATGTGCATGCATGTATGTATTTGTGCATAGGCAGATCATATTGTATACCACATTTGTAACATAGAGATATTTAAGGAATTGGTTCATGTGTGTTTTGGAGCACATTGACTTAATGTGCACATCCATATTTTGGAGCACATTGACTTAATGTGCACATCCCAGACCACTGTGTGAATCAAGACGTATTTATGTGGTTCAGTGTACATTTTCAATGAAAAATGTTCCTTGAATATTGATAGTTTTAGTAAGTATTCAGAGAGCTGCCTTGCTGTCTAACAGCCAAACCAAGCAGTTGAAATGCTTTGCAGCCTGTGGTAACAACCCTCTTTTTATCCATATAAATCTATGGGAGGAATGCCAAATCCTCACACTGAAGTTCCTTCCTGGGTCAAAGAAAAATGACATAGACTGAAAATGTCCTAATCTATAGTTAGCCAAGTGCCCTAATCTATAGTTACTTGACTATTAGTCAAGTGTAGTTTGGCCCTAAGACATGTAAATAACAGTCAATTTCCATAGTCACCAAAAGCTTTATGAGAAAGCCATGCCTTTATTAGGGGTTACAGGTAAACAGTGAAAAGGTCAAGTTATCCCCAGTCCCTGGGGATGCATTTCTCAACAAAGATGGCATAGCTAGTACCTATGACATTGCCAGGTGGTATACTCATTCAGAATGTTTCTCTGTAATCAAACTGTTTGTGCAATGACCGTGGCAGTAGTGGATTTCTGAAAAGCTTGTGCATGGAGGTGTCCAGGACCTCCTTGTGCAAAGGCAACTTGATCAGCTGTAGTGAGAGATGTCTGGTTGCATAAGGTTGCCGCCTGCAAAAAAAATGTGAAATCCCTCATCATTGTGCCAGCAGGATATTATGCTCCATTGGCACTGGGCAGGATTTGAGCCTAGGGCTGCTCTGCCAGCTTTAGTTGTAGTTTATATAACTTCCCCCAGCCTTGTGCTCTACAAATATAATGGACTACATGGCCATCACCACTAGCTAGTACAGCACTTCCCTGGCTTAGGATGATATGGACTATAATACAACACCTCTGAAGGGTACTAGAGCTAGAGGTGCCTACCTTGTATGATATTTCATGTCTATGTTATGTTGCCTACTATAAATTTATCTTTGAGAAGAATTATTTAAATCAATGTTTCTTTCTTTTGTTCTTTCGTTCTTTGAAGATAAAGCATTCATCGCTTTGAAACCTCGAAGAAAAACTGTGCTGGATGTTACATCTGGCAAGAAGTCCTATCGACTCTCTATGAAAGTGAAAGCATTTCCCACACCAGAGGTTGTATGGTAGGATTATAGTTCCTTCTACATAAAAAAAAAGGAAGTCACTAACATGAACAGATATCCTATTTGCTCGGGATTAAGTATTTCACTTCCAAACACAAAGCTGAACAGCTATGTCCAAAATGGAGTTGGAAGAACTTTGCTAATGTAAACCTGAGTTGAATATGTTTCTTCGGGAATAAAGGCAGCAGCATTCAGTCTGACAGGCGCACATCTTCAAGGTTTAAATATGGAGACAAATAATCAGATCTGTGGAAAAGCCATTTCTATTTTACATTGACACACCTCATACTTAATGTTTAAAATTTTATTGAAGTGTCGAATGGAAGGTAATCTACTTTATAGGATTATTTTTTGGAATTAAATAGTGGGAGGAGTTCCTCCAAGGAACTCAAGATGGCATATATACCTGTCCTGTTCCACACTTAATTCTTACAACTGTGTGAAGTAGGTCAGACTAAGAAAGTTACTCAGTGGGTTTCATGGTTGATTGAGGACTTGAGCTAGATTTCCCAGGTCCTATTCAACACTGTAGCCATTCCACTGTGTGGGGTTTAAAGATAATGGTCACCCCCTGAAGTTACTATTTACCACCAAAGGTGTCATTTCCTTGTAGCTATTTGCTTTTTTGAAGCAAATTAGCTTAGGTAGGAAAAATACCAGAGAGAAGATGGTACTGCAAGGAAGAATTAAGCCCTCTCCTTTCTGCCCCATTCCCAATCAGAGTAAGAATAATGGCTGCTGTTTCAACAGAGATGGGGGAAGGGCAGATAGATAATGACACACATAATATTATGCCTAGTGTGTCCTAGAAAAGAATATGTTCTTCCTTTTGGTGACTTATTATTTCTTTCTGTACTTGTCTATGACTGCTATGCTAGCAGGTAACTGAGATTTACTTGCCTCAAGCACACTGTATTAAAAATGGCAGGTGAAAAGCTTTTGGTATCACTTTCATATAGAACAATGTTATTAATTTTAATCTCATTCTTGTACTGTTTAGTTTTAATGATTGCAAATATCAGTGGCTATGGTTGAATTTCTTAGTTTTCAACAAGATCTTTGTTGCAGGGCTGATCTGGAAAACAATTAATTACACACACATGCATTATTAGTTCACAGTCCTTGCCACCAGGTATAATTTGTGCTCCAAACGTTTGTATTCAGCCTCTCTGTTACATTTGCATTTCTAAATGCTTAGTAGATTGGCATGGTGGTGTGAATGTTAGCTGGCTATAATACCCCTTATTTATTGATTTTATTTATTTCCTATCCTCCCTCACAAAGAGTCCTAGATGGCTGTGAATATACCTTAAAACACAATCCAAAATTATTAAAATAATTCAAAGATAAATACTATAGCAAGATAAAAGATAAATCGTAAGTAATAAATCAAAAGATAAATAACAAAACACAACAGAACAAATGTAGTGTTTGACTATCCTCTAGCAACCATTCTCAATCTTTTTTGGCAATTAACACAATATGAAAGAAATATGGACCAAATCGGGATTGTATACATTGTGTAATAAACCTTACAAGGTGGCATTTGAAGAATTGTGGTCACTTCAAATGTGCCAGGGCCCCCAGAAGGCCATATGGCCTTCCATGGAGAATGGCTTCTCTAAAGGCTTACACAAATAAGTATGTTTTCACTTACCACTTAAATGATATTAAGGAGGAAAACTGGATCTCCACCAGAGATAGTATCCTAGTAGGGGTGCTGTTGCCAAGAAAGTTCTGCTACATATGGTTTCTCTCCTCACAAAAGACTCCACAAGCAGATCTTCTCCATCTTATCATAAACCCTGAGTTTCTTGATACAGAGAACATTTATCATCCAACTTGGCCATTCAACATAAAATAAATACATGTGAATATATACATTTATACATATATATAATTAATATAGCACAGTTATTATATGTGCTGTGGGTTAGAACACAGGGAGCCACTCTGTACACATGATAAGTCCAAAAACAATAGGGAAATTTAAGGAAAAGACTTGCAGCTGAATCAGATTAACCTGGTCCCTTCTGATGTGTTGGGTGACCACTCCCATAATCTCAATGTAACCCTTAGATTTGAAGCCCTTTGTCTAAACTGACACACAGAAATGCCACATTCCCTGCCCCCATGCATTTCCATGACAATATTTCCTAAAAGAAATATATTAAGTAATATATTAGCAAGTATAAGTGATATAAGTATTATATTTAATACCTCTGGGTAGTTTGGGCGGCATATGGTGACCACTCCCATAATCTCAATGTAACCCTTAGATTTGAAGCCCTTTGTCTAAACTGACACACAGAAATGCCACATTCCCTGCCCCCATGCATTTCCATGACAATATTTCCTAAAAGAAATATATTAAGTAATATATTAGCAAGTATAAGTGATATAAGTATTATATTTAATACCTCTGGGTAGTTTGGGCGGCATATAAATTAAATACATAAGTATTATATTTAAGTAAATATAAACAAATTGCTGCTTCTTTCACTAGAATGGCTGCTTATATTTGGCCAAAAGAGAGGACTACTTCTTTCACAAGAGTGGCTGCTTATATTTGGCCAAAAGAGAGGATACAGCTCTGCATAACATTTTTATGTGCTAATTCATATACATAGATACAAGTTTAATAATAATGGCTGAAATCCTGTTTGCATAGGTTACACTACATAAGACTGGTGATGTCATCCACCAAGACTAATTTTCAGAACTTAAAGTTTCCTATTCTGGTCCCATGGCACTTCCAGCTCCTGTGTAATCATTTCCCTCACCAGGAATCAACAGGGTGATGGGATAGGAGGAAGAAATCTATGATGAACTGTTTAAATTACTTATTTGCTATCTTTTAGGCATTAATTCTTGATGGACAACATCAAAACTGTTATTTTCTTATGGTTCTTTATCTTTCAACTGGATTGGTCTTAAAATAGATGAATGTCCTTCATAAAGGAGAAATATGGTCACCCTAGTTCTAATTTGTTATTCTTTTTTAGGGACTAAATTTAGGGCCTACAAATGATGGAATATAGCAATTAAGCATCATGCATTTCTTTCTTCAAATATTACTGGAAATATGAGCAGGAAGAATGTAGGTCCACAGCAGACACATGTTTCTTGTAACATGTAGTTAGGCCCTTGTATGACAGATCTTGAATTTGATCAGAAGATAGAGTACAATTAGTTAGGTACATAATCAGGGGCACATTTTGCTTCTCTGACATGGAACATCTTCAGTTAGGCAGAGATAGCATAGTGGTGCTATGAACAATTACAAATTCTGATGTTCTTTTAACAGGTTGAAAGATGGATTACCTGCTGCTGAAAGGTGTGCCCGGTATAAAACAAAAGGTTATTCACTAATCATAAAACATGTTTCTGAAGAAGATGCTGGGAATTACACCATACTTTTGACCACTCAACAGTGGAGCTTGCATAAAAACTTAACAGTCACACTCAGAATAAATGGTGAGTTGGCTACACAATTGGATTTAGGCTGAAAACCCAAACCTATTTGTCTAGGAATATGTCCCTGTGAACTTAATGATACTTATTTCTGAGCAAACATGTATAGGAGTGCATTGTCAAGAATCATAGGCCAAATTGGAATCACTTCAGTAGTGTATTTTATAAAGATTGTCCTTGTTTATTTCTAGAGACTAAGAAGGCATAAATTGTTTTGAAATGCTTCTTATATATACCGTGTTCTTTTTTCTTTCTCAAACAGTAAAGCCTCAGATTTATGAAAAAATATCATCAATTCCTGGTCCTAATCTCTTTCAACGGGGAAGTGAGCAAATTCTGACTTGCATTGTTTATGGGATTCCCCAACCTACAATCAAGTGGGCTTGGCACCCCTGTCAGCAGAATCAGTCTACAATAAGGTAGATCATTGTAGTCACTTGTTTCTAATAGTCTTCTGCTTTGTTAATGTGGTTGTGGTGCTGTCAAGCCATTTCCAACATACAGTGATCTTACCTGAGTTTCTGAGGTGTGTGAGATCTTAATGAAACAGTTCACCATTACCATCCCATAGTGGATTTCCATGGCTGAGATGATATATCACTTTGTTTGTACTTTATGAGGAAAGGAGACATAAGATTTGTAACTCAATTTGTAAAACATGTTATTGCTGAAAAAGATAACTCAGCGGTCATATTAATAATAGTAACTATTTTTCTCAAGCAGTCTCAATATAGTTTGCACTACTATGACAAGAAGCAATCAGTGTCGTTCCCCTCCTTATCCTCAATACATAATGAATATTGCTCAGAGGTCCATCCTTAGGAATGGACCTCAACAGATGGGAAACCTTGACGTCTGAGTGCTCAGCTTGGAGGCAGGCGGTGCATAATGGCCTCTCCCAGTTTGAAGAGACCCTTGTCCAGCAGGCTAAGGCAAAGAGGCAGTCCTGAAACCAGCAAAATCAGGGAGCTGGACAGGGGACAGATTGTATTTGTCTTCAGTGTGGAAAGGATTGTCACTCTCGAATTGGCCTTCTCAGCCACACTAGATGGTGTTGCAAGTCCTCCGTACAGAGCATGTTACCATAGTCTCTCGAGACTGAAGGATGCCTACTACTATTGCTCAGAACATGAAAAGTGAAAAGGAAATGGTCTCTTGAGTCTACTGGCCATAGGATCCAGGGAACTCTAGTCTAAAAAAAGCTTTTCTAAGCTCTGGCATGGATGCCATCATTGGGGTCTGAGTACATTAAACTCAGAGTGGGGTGGAGGTGAACATGGCTTGCCATGGTCACCCCCTGAGCCAAAAACACTCCCTTGTGATGGTTTCTGGATAGAGCTAGGAAAAGTTACTTTTTTGGACATTCTGGATACCATGGTCTAAGTAAAGCTTTTACAACCAGATCCATCTCACATGGCTAGTCGTTGTTTAGTCGTTTAGTCGTGTCCGACTCTTCATGACCCCATGGACCAGAGCACGCCAGGCCCTCCTATCTTCCACTGCCTCCCGGAGTTTGGTCAGATTCATGTTGGTTGTTTGGCGACACTGCCCAGCCATCTCATCCTCTGTTGTTTTCGCAGACACTGTCCAGCCATCCCATCCTCTGTTGTCCCCTTCTCCTCTTGCCGTCACACTTTGCTAACATCAAGGTCTTTTCCAAGGAGTCTTCTCTTCTCATGAGATGGCCAAAGTATTGAAGCCTCAGCTTCAGGATCTGTCCTTCCAGTGAGCACTCAGGGTTGATTTCCTTCGAAATGGATAGGTTTGTTCTCCTTGCAGTCCAGGGGACTCTCAAGAGCCTCCTCCAGCATCACAATTCAAAGGCATTAATTCTTCGGCGGTCTGCTTTCTTTATGGTCCAGCTCTCACTTCCATACATCACGACAGGAAAGACCATAGCTTTGACTATTCGGAAGGTTGGCTATCTATAGAGCTGGGTTTTTTGAGCCCAAAGGCATCTTTTTATACTGCCTTTCTTTGTCTCCATGATATGACCCTGGTTTTGTTCATTAAGAAATCAAGCCATTAAATTTGTTCTTGAAGGCTATGTTCTTCCCATTCTCCCAATAAAATTGCTTTGTTGTTCTTGTTCTTTGAATAACAAAGGTATGGTCTCCTACAGAAATATTTTATAAAGCTTTCTGTTTCCTACTTCACTTTTTACACAGAATAACATCACATGCCCAGATGGGGTTAGAAGATGCTCAAGAAACATTATACTTATTTGTGGAGTGGAATCTTTTATAGTAGAATGTGTTGAATAATCAGTAACACACTGTTTTAATTGCATTTAGAAACGTTAGATCACCCATTCACGAAGCAAAGAGGCATAACAGCCACAATGAGCCCAGAGAGGTTGTTTGTGATGGTATAATAAATAAAATATTGGCAGAGTAAAAAAAAAAAACTTAGCCAATGTGACTTGGTTTCACACTTACCAGTGCTACAGTATGTGTAAGAACTGGTTCTGGTAACAAATATGCAGAACTTAGAAAACGTACCTCTTTGGATGAGAGCTCTCAGACTTCTCCAGTACTAGCATGGAAATTTGGGCCATTATAGTTTTTTTTAAAAAGTAACATTTCCAAGCTCTGTTAATGTGTGTGAATATTTGCTTATATAAGTTATTCAAACAAGCTGACAGAAGAGAAAGAAAAATTGCAGCTGATATATGGGTGAATGATGGCTTCCAGATTACTTTTCTCATACAACAACTTGCCATAGCTTTGTGTGAGTGGCTCTTCTAGCATTACATTGTTTGTGTCAGCAGGCATTTTAAGAAAACAGTTGTTCATTCATAAATGTTTATTTTAATAAGAATTTAGTCAACAAAAGAGTGGGAAAAGCTGTACTGGGATACAATTTTAAAAATGATAGAATGATTTCAATACGAATCCAAGGCAGACCTTTCAACATCACAGTAATCCAGGTTTATGCACCAACCACCCATGCTGAAGAGGCTGAAATTGACCGATTCTATAAAGACTTACAAGACCTTCTAGAGCTGACACCAAAGAAAGATGTTCTTCTCATTATAGAGGACTGGAATGTTAAAGTAGGGAATCAAGAGATAAAAGGAACAGCAGGTAAGTTTGGCCTTGGAGTTCAAAATGAAGCAGGGCAAAGGCTAATAGAGTTTTGTCAGGAGGACAAGCTGATCATCACAAACACTCTTTTGCAACAACACAAAAGGTGACTCTACACATGGAAATCACCAGATGGGCAATACTGAAATCAGATTGATTATGTTCTCTGCAGACAAAGATGGAGAAGCTCTATACAGTCAGCAAAAACAAGACCTGGATCTGATTGTGGCTCTGATCATTAGCTTCTTATAGCAAAACTCAAGCTTAAACTGAAGAAAGTAGGAAAAACCACTGGGATAGTCAGGTATAATCTAGATCAAGTCCCTTATGAATACACAGTGGAAGTGAAGAACAGATTTAAGGAACTCAATTTGGTGGACAGAGTGCCTGAAGAACTATGGATGGAGGCTTGTAACATTGTACAGGAGGCAGCAACAAAAACATCCCAAAGAAAAGGAAACACAAGAAAGCAAAGTGGCTGTCCAACGAGGCCTTACAAATAGCAGAGAAGAGAGGGTAAACAAAATGCAAGGGAGATAGGGAAAGTTATAGAAAATGGAATGCAGATTTCCAAAGAATAGCAAGGAGAGACAAGAGAGCCTTCTTAAATGAACAGTGCAAAGAAATAGAGGAAAATAATGGAAATCGAAAAAGCGAGATCTGTTCAAGAAAATTGGAGATATTAAAGAAATATTTTGCGCAAAGATGGACATGGTAAATGACAAAAATGGTAAGGACCTTACAGAAGCAGAAGACATCAAGAAGAGGTGGCAAGAATACACAGAGGAATTATACTAGAAAGATCTGGATGTATAGGACAACCCAGATAGTGTAGTTGCTGACCTTGAGCCAGACATCCTGGAGAGTGAAGTCAAATTCTTAAAAGATGACACTGTTAAGATGCTACTCTCAATATGCCAGCAAATATGGAAAACAGCAATGACCAGAGGATTGGAAAAGATCAGTTTACATCCCAATCCCAAAGAAGGGCAGAGCCAAAGAATGCTCTAACTACCATACAATTGCACTCATTTCCCACACTAGCAAGGTTATGCTCAAAATCCTCCAAGGTAGGCTTCAGCAGTATGTGGAGCGAAAACTCCCAGAAGTACAAGCTGGATTCCAAAGGGGCAGAGGGACTAGAGACCAAATTGCTAACGTGTGCTGGATTATGGGAAAGTCAGAAAATCCCAGAAAAACTTCTACTTCTGCTTCATTGACTATGCAGAAGCCTTTGACTGTGTGGACCACATCAAACTATGGCAAGTTCTTAAAGAAATGGGAGTGCCTGACCACCTTATCTTATCTCCTGAGAAATCTATATGTGGGTCAGGAGGCAATAGTTAGAACTGGATATGGAACAACTGATTGGTTCAAAATTGGGAAAGGAGTACGACAAGGCTGTATATTGTCTCCCTGCTTATTTAACTTATATGCAGAATACCTCATGCAAAAGGCAGGACTGGATGAATCCCAAGCTGGAATTAAGATCACTGGAAGAAATATCAACAATCTCAGATATGCAGATGATAACACTCTGATGGCAGAAAGTGAGAAGGAATTAAGGAACCTTTTAATGAGGATGAAAGAGGAGAGCGCAAAAATGGTCTGAAGCTCAACATCAAAAAAACTAAGATCATGGCCACTGGTCCCATTACCTCCTGGCAAATAGAAGGGCAGTGACAGATTTTACTTTCTTGGGCTCCATGATCACTGCAGATGGTGACAACAGCCACAAAATTAAAAGGCCCCTGTTTCTTGGGAGGAAAGTGATGACAAACCAAGACAGCATCTTAAAAAGCAGAGACATCACCTTGCCAACAAAAATCCGAATAGTCAAAGCTATGGTTTTTCCAGTAGTGATGTATGGAAGTGAGATCTGGACCATAAAGAAGGCTGACTTCTTTATGGAAGAAATCAACCCTGAATACTCACTGGAAGGACAGATCCTGAAGCTTAGGCTCCAATACTTTGGCCATCTCATGAGAAGAGAAGATTCCCTGGAAAAGACGCTGATGTTAGGAAAGTGTGAAGGCAAGAGGAGAAGAGGACAACAGAGGACGAGATGGTTGGACAGTGTCATCGAAGCAACCAACATGAATTTGACCAAACTCAGTGGAAGACAGGAGGGCCTGGCGTGCTCTAGTTCATGGGGTCACGAAGAGTCGGACATGACTTAATGACTAAACACCACCACCCAGTCTAAGTTCATCCATTGGGCTGAGTAAGGATTTGAATGCATCTCTCCTCATTCCTAATGCAGCTGCTTCTCAGTACGCTGAAATTTACTATAATGAAAATCCAAATTTCCTTGCTGTTTTTTGCTTCTAGAA